GTATTAAACAGATAAGTCCATGAGGTTGTATGCACCTCCTTGGACTTAACCCATAGTAAATATTAATGACACACAAACCAAGTGAATATTGTCACAGAGCTAGTACGTGGAGAAACATACAAAAACTCCCCCCTTAACCCCAACTGGGGGAAATATTAAATGAAGGTGAATCCAGTGTTTACCTAAATGGGAACACAATAACGGTGCTAGTGTAACCCCACTCAATCAGGCAATAAGTGATAAATGAATATTGTACAGTCCATAAAAATGTCCACTTCAAAGACACTTGTGTGAATAAATCAGCAAACGTGAAAGTGCCTTTGGTGCCAATATTCGTGGTGATAATCCTTAAATGGTCTGAGTGCCCCCTCACCTCCTCACAGCGACCACAAGGGTCAGCTCACTTAATGGATCCATCACGTTCCGCACAGGAACAACCCCATCCTAGAAAGATCGCACTGGATACCACAGCAGAGCCAATATTCCTCCTGAGCTCCTCCAGCCACTTGGGTACTCTTGTATTGCCGCTCACATCAAAAGGATCATATCAGAGACAAAATAGATCCTCCACAATGTAAATCTGTATTTATTTCCATCATAATTAGATGATTATTCGGCAGGAGACTGAATACAATTGTCTGGCCGCATGACCTGCTCTTCCTCCAGCGGCCAAATTAGTTCGATCGCTCCCCTTAGCGACAGCTGCAACCCTAAGGCACTGTTGCTTCTTGACTGCTAGTCTCGGGAGATTTGGAGTGAGATTTAATGATGTCTCTAAAGTGCTGCTCAGTGTTCTCTTTGCTGGAAGCTCTGACATGAGGAAGCAACATCCTGACTCTTCCATATAGAGACACGGGGGTAGATTTACTAAAACTGCAGCACTCAGAATCTGGTGCAGCTCTGCATGGCAGACAATCAAATTCTAACTTCAGCTTGTTCAAGTAAGCTTTGGCAATAAAACCTGGAAGCTTATTGGTTTGTATGCAGAGCTGCATCAGATTTTGAACTCTCCAGTTTTAGTAAATCAACCCCTATAAATACCTTTTTTCCCCTTTTTTATAAGTGATTATATACCCTCTGTTCTCAGCTGCATAAGGGACTAGGAGAGATGAAACAGCAGTACACAGATCTTCCCAGTGAATGACTGTGCAGGGAGGCATGTCAGCACAAGTCTGATCATTAGAGGACAAGCAGGCTGTTATTCCAGCACAGCCAGAAAATGGACCACACTGAGATAGATGTGATTCTATGCCTAGCGTGGTTAGTTTGAAATAGGAAAGTCAGTGGACTTGCAGGAACACCAGGGATTTCACACAAAGGAGGCAATACAAAGAGAACAGAATACTTTTTCATACAAGTAAATGGTACATCCAACACATATCAGGAATATATGAAATGTTGGGTTCACATATTCATTAGGCTTTCACAAGTAGGACCCTCCTAACTAGACATGTGCAGATCTAAAAAATGTGTTTAGTTTCATATTGGGTTGTTAAAGTGGAGTTCCACCCAAAAGGGGAAGTTCCACTTTCCATTAAGGATTGGAACCTTTGGGGAGCGGGTACCCGAAATTGACAGGTACCAACTCCCACTTCCGCTGCGATCGCCTAGGTGATCGGAAGCGGAAGTTGTCCTCCCACCCTCCCTCCCCGTAGTCTTGTGGGACACGTGACAGGTCCCAGAAGACGATACTACTCGCGCATGCGCAGTGGGCACCCAACTGTGAAGCCGCAAGCTGTCACAGCCGGGTGCCCACAATGAAGATGCCAGCGACTGGAATACAGGATGGCCAGTGAAACGGGCTGCGTGGGGGCAATGCGGGATTGTAGGACAGGTGAGTGGCTGTTTTTGAAAAGTCGGCAGCTACAGTTTTTGTTACTAATTAAACTCCGCTTTAAGTTACTAATTTTGTTTCATTGCATTCATAACAAAATTAGTTTCATTTAGTTTAGTTTAATTTCATTTAGTTGTTTTTTCGACTGGATTTAAATTTTTTTTCCATTGGATTTGAATCATTCAAATCAAATTCAATTTGAAGAAATCGAATAGAATTGATCCAAATTCATTGTGAAGAGTAGCTGGTTCTTTTCTATTTGAAATTTTAATTTTGGAAGACTGTTATGTTCTTTCTATTCTATTCTGTTCTTTTATTTTCTATACTTTTCTATTCTTTTATTTTCTACTTTATTCTATTCTTTTCTATGCTATTATTTTATTTTCTATTCTATTTTATTCTATTATTTTCTATTGTATTCTATTTTACTCTATTCCTTTCTATTGTATTGTATTTTATTCTATTCTTTTCTAAATTCGCTTTTTGGAAACTGGCTATATTGTTTCTATTTTATTCTGTTATAATGTAATCTATTCTATTCCTTTATTTTGTATTTTATTTTGTTCTATTCTTTTATTTTCTATTGTATTTTATTCTGTTCTGTTTAACTACTCTTTTCTTTTCTATTCTATTCTTTTTTTATTCTATTTTATGCTTTTTCGAAATTCAGATTTCAGAAAGCGGCTTTAACACTAGTACATACAGTCTTTGAAGGAAATCAGCAATAGTCAGTGATATGTTTCGAATTTGTTTTCAAATTCAATTTAGTTTTCAAATTCAGTTCGATTTGAATTTGATTTGAATTTCAGCAGAAATTGCGGTTTGTTATTTTGGATTCATTTAAATTTGTTACTATTGTACTTCAGAAAATTGGATACATCCAAATCTCCGATAAATGAAATTTTTGTCCAAATTTTGACTTGGAACAAAACAAACCGCACCTGTCTACTCTTAACCTTTTTGTCTTTCATTGTATTGTATTGTACTGTCCCCCAATACTTTTTAGGGGCTTTTGCACATGGGCAAATTTCCCCTGCTTGGAAATCCAAGGTATTGTGTACAGCTGCCCCTAGGCATAAATCAGGGGTGTATTTACCACAAGGTAAACAAGGCATTTGCCTAGGGTGGCATTTTTCAGGGGGGCAGCAGCATTATTCAGGTAGGCAATGCTTCCCCCTGAAAGAAGGGATGGAAGAAGGAACACACTCAGCACGGGGACCAAGTGGGATCTGAGAGAGGTTGCAGGCTGCTTGATGGTGTATGCAGAGCCTGACTCTTGTTCCAGGGGATGTCCGGAGCTGTGAAGGTGAGTGTCTTAACTCTTGCCGGGGTGGGGGGAGGTTGCCAGTGTATGGGGGGCTGGGGTGTTGTTGGTCAATGTCAGGCTCTCTTCGTGGGGGAGGGAGGTGTTGGTTGGTGTCAGAGTCTCTCCATGGGGGGGGCAATTTTTGTGTTGCCTAGGGCAAAACGAAACCTAAATACACCACTGGCATAAATGGCTAGGGTATACACATATAAGTGATGTGCGAATTGTTGGCACTATATACTGTAAATCCCTAATTATAATAATAATAATACGGAAATAAAAAGCATTAAACTACAAGCAAGGCAAAAGCAGTGATATAAAAAAAATATTTTATGTCTCCATAAATATGCTGCTTGGAATTAGCTAACAGTTGGAAGCCTTCAAATGTGTCTAAAACCAAAAACAAACTGTAATATATTGCAGCTTAGCAGTCTTTAGATGTGGTGGTGGTGGCCGCATTAGTTTTCATACTTAAAGCTAAGAACAGTTTCAAAACAAACACAGTACAACTTGTCTCAGCATATTTACCAGCTAGCCAGCAATTAAAAAACAAAACAAATTAGACCATTTAACAATTTGCATTAGAGGTTTTGGTTGCACAACATTTTCAAATACATGTGAAAGTGGCACTGCTTTGTCAAGGCCTCTCTGTATAGTGTGGTTCCCAACTCTAATCAATGACAGTCTCAATGCTGGAGCGTATATAGCAGTGGATAAATTGAGGGCAGGCATGCCTGGAGGTAGTCCATTCCTCATGGAAGATATAAACCGCTCATCTGCCACATCCATGTTGATCGTATATACAAAGAAAAAAACAGTTGGATTTTACTGGCATTGAAAAGGAAACACACATATACGTAAAATACAAGATTTTATTACATATAAGTTAAAAAGTACAATAGGTAAATATTATTATATTATTATTATTATACATGATTTATATAGTGCCAACAGTTTGCTCAGTGCTTTACAATATAAAGGGAGACAATACAGCAACAATACAGTTCAATACAAGAGGGAAAGGAGGGCCCTGATCCTGGGAGCTTACAATCTATCTAAATATCCATATTAAAATCCAGAAAGCTGCACACTGCCTTGTAAACAGATTCAGCTGCTGACTCACTAAAACATAATAGTTATCTTACTTGGAAAATATGTCTATATTTATTTTCAACATATATGGATATGTACATTGTGAGTCCTCACGAAGTCAACGCGTTTCTCTTATTTTGCTTCCTCAGGACGCATGAGATTTCAGCAGTAATGACTACCGAAGACAAAAAGAAATATATAGAATACAGATACAAAATATACAAGCATATATATATAAATTAACCACTTGTCCTCCAGAGGATTTCCCCCCCCCCCCTTCCTGACCAGGCCATTTTTATTTTGATATGGCGCTGCGTTACTTTAACTGACAATTACGCGGTTTCGTGCAAAGCTGTACATAAATTAAATTTATGTCATTCCCCCCCCCCCCCCCCCACAAATAGAGCTTTCTTTCAATGGTATTTGATCACCTCTGCATTTTTTATTTTTTGCGCTATAAACAAAAAAAAAGCTTGACAATTTTTTAAAAAACTATATTTTTTACTTTTTGCTATAAAACATATCCAATAAAAAAATTTTAAAATCAAATTTCGCCATAAATTTAGGCCAAAATGTATTCTGCTACATGTCTTTGATAAAAAAAAATCCCAATATGTGCAAATTGATTGGTTTATGTGAAAGTTATAACGTCTACAAATGGCGGTATATATACTGGAAGTTTAATATTTTTTTTTACTAGTAATGGCGGCGATCAGCGACTTATTGCTGGACTGTGGGACTGCAGCAGGCATTCTGACACTGGAGGGAACTAACTGCCGCTGACATCCCCATTGACACTAATACAGTGATCAGTGCTAAAAAAAGCACTGACAGTGAACTAATGACACTGGGCAGGAAGGGGTTAACATCTGGGGCAATCAAAGGGTTAACTGTGTGCTGTTTTACTAACTGCTGTGTGTGTTTTACTGTGTGCTGTGTTTTACTAGGGAGACATGCTGTGCAGATAGATACAAAGCAGCATGTCCATACTGACAGGAGAGAGGCTTGTGTTGTTTACACACAGGTCCCTTCCCTGTCAGTTTTACCCAACGATTGCCGGATGTCAGCAGGGAATTGCCAGCCGGGACCCGGTGATTGACATCTCTAGTTGCCATTTATGGCACGGGTAGGGCGGTGCACACGCGTTGCCCCCTTACATGGAAATGCAAATCACATATATATACATGATACAGCCCTGCCGCCCTGTAACAGTACTTCTGCAATAGGGCGGAGGGAAAGTGGTTTTAAACACTGTAATTTTATGTTGTTTTTTTCTTGCTAATTGGTAAATGTGTGGGGAATTTTTTGTATTGTGTTTGTCCCGTGAAAAACCCTTCATCTACCTGTCAATGTACATCTTACTATAAAAAAAAACAAGTTCTAAATTGGTAGGAGCCAATCCAATATGCCCACCCTTCTATGCCAACAGCCAGTTAGTTATGTGCTGCTATAGGTACTGAGACCCTAGGATTCCGGTGAGGGTGTCCTCGAAGTCCTCTCCCCCTTTTCTTTCTCCTTCCCTTCTTTACACTTTCCCCCTTTCTATTCACTTTGGCTATCCTGCAGGGGAGGCCCCTGATTATACATGTATTTGCGCTCTACATAGTAAACTTAATATTCACATTTAACTCATGAACACCCTATACTTTGTTATTGGCGCTCAGTTCATGTTTTTGCATACATTGTTAAATCATTATTACATTGTTAACATATACTTTGGTATACCTATAGTTCTGCCTTTTGTAACTCCTTTTCTGCTTGATGTACAATGGATACTAAGTCAAGTAAGCCGTTGATACATCAAGTTTACAAACATATTTAATTGGAGCCGATGCCATTTTTGTTAAGTATGTTTTCAGGAGGTACAGAAAATGTTGTTATTCCCAAAGTGAAACTTCACTCTCTCAGTCATCATTGATTATTAATCCTTATGCTGCTAGCATACGTAAATGGATAGGAATGTATATCATATTTACTTTTTTTTTTTTACATTTCTTCAGTAACTTCCTGATTTCCATGCCTAGGCAGATGATGTCATATATCCCACCAGTCTTCAGAAGGGGGGGGGGGGGGTTATCAACTCAGCCAGTGCCTGAGCTAAGGGCAGGTAGATTCCAGTAAATAAATGCTACATGAATCATCTGCCCTTACTCAAGAGGGTCACTGCCAAAAAAGCCAGGGGGTGTTTTTAAAGATGATTTCTCAGTAAAATAAAGCATGGCAGCATGGATGAATGGATGAGATTGCTTTGAATATTTACAATGAATTAAATAGCATGTTTCATTTGTGGTGTTCAGATGCAGTGCAGTTCCACTTTAAAGGATAAGTTCACCTTTCATAACGTTACACCCATATTCAGGGCTCCCGCTCCCCACTTTGACAGCTAGTGGGAGATCTTCTCTTCCCCCGTTAGCTGTCAAATTTTTTTAGAATGTGGTTGCGTTACTTATTCACAGCATTCTGTGCATAAGAGACTACAAGTCCCAGCAGCCTTTCCAGCTTTCAGCTTGTAGTCCTCAAAGAACTACCGGTGCTGTGGAGTGCATTGGTAGATCATTGATTCTTCCTGTCTATATATCTGCTTGCTCATGCATCCCAATCAGATATTCTGACAGGTCTGCTGATCACTGGTGCAATGCTTTACAGGCTCCTGCAGACAAAAATAATAAATGTAAATTTTTCTTACCTGCAAAAAAAAAAATGTGCATTTATTATTTTTTACTAATTTATTATTTTTTACTAAAAGATGAACTTATCCTTTAAGTAAACAACTAGCCCCATCAACTCACCATGTAATAAAGATGAACAAAGTCCAGCCTGCGTAACATTTATGGCTGCCTCCTTAGATACATAGACATGGACTGGATGTGAGTTATGTGCAGGATCTCCAGGTGAAAATGAAGTGAAAAAAGGAAAAAACTGAAATCAATTCAGCCAATATAAGGTCTATGAAGCTGAAATACATAACATTTTTGTTTTTGAGTTTAAATAAATTTTCATTTTCTAGCCAGGACAGAAAGGGCATGGTTGCCCTCTAACATTGGCAGCACGGTGGCTAAATGGTTAGCACTTCCACCTGGCAGTACTAGGGTCGTTGGTTTGAATCCCAACCAGGGGCGGACTGACAACTCATGGGGCCCCCGGGCAATAGGGGATCATGGGGCCCCTGTGTCCTTGCCCAAACTCAAAAAAGCCTATGAAAAAAGGTACCAGGGGCATCTCATGGGGCCCCCTACTGACCCCGGTCCCTCGGGCAGTGCCCGAGTTTCCAAATGGTCAGTCCACCCCTGATCCCAACCATGGCACCACCTGCCTGGAGTCTGCATGTTCTCCCTGTGCCTGTGTGCCTCTAGGTACTACGGTTTGCTCCCACACTCCAAAGACACACTGGTAGGCAGGGGCGGACTGACAACTCATGAGGCCCCCGGGCAATAGGAGATCATGGGGCCCCTGTGTCCTTGCCCAAACTCAAAAAAGCCTATTAAAAAGGTACCAAGGGCATCTCATGGGGCCCCCTACTGACCCCGGGCCCTCGGGCAGTGCCCGAGTTTGCAAATGGTCAGTCCTCCCCTGCTGGTAGGTTAATTGGATCCTGTCTAAATTGGCCCTAGTATGTGTATGTATGAATGTGAGTTAGGAACCTTCAACTGTACACCCCTTGAGGGTTAGGGACTGATGTGAATGTACAATATATATGTAAAGTGCTGCGTAAATTGACGGCGCTATATAAGTACCTGAAATAAATAAAGCACCTACAGTCTAATAAGACATCTGATTGGTTGATACAGGCAGCAATAATTTACCACCCTTTATGGCTTTTTTTTTGCACGAAGCTCATTTTTTTATTCTATCAATTAGTAAAAGCAGAGGGCACACATGAGCCGTACAAAGCGTTACATGCCATAGATTCCAGAGATGGCAATTCCACCTCCAACATCTGAAGGGACTGAAGAAAGTAGGATTAGCTAAGTGATAATAATATCACAGAACCTCTGTGCTCCTCCCACCACATTCTCCTAATCATACAGTTAGTGTATGGCTCTCCCCCCACCCTTGTCTTGGGATCTGGTGCTGGCTGAGAGCTTGTGGCTCACTTCTCCCCCCTCTCCAAAGGCCTTTCACTTGTCTCTTTCCATCACATGCTACAGAGCTGAGAGAAAACAGAACCACTCTCCTCGGGGTTCACCGCCTCCTTCCATGTTAGCCGTGCTCAGTCATTGGAATACACAGGACTGTCCCGAACACAGTCCCAGACTGATCCCAGTACATCGCTGAATAAAGCGGCTCAGTCTACAGAAGTCGGCCTCTGATGAGACAATGCAGAGCGGGATTCTGGAACTACTATGAAAGTGAACTTCTGCTGCCAAATGACCTCACATTTAGCTATGATGTATCCAACATGAAAGTTAGAGTTGTTTTAAAAAGTGCCAACATATTCCAAAGCAACATATGGCAGACAGAATGAAAAGACATGTAAGCGGAGAAGTGGTGGATTATCATCATGGGGCAATCCTGGGGGAACCCTGGGGTCCTTAGCTGTAAAGGGGCCCAGATCTTTCTTACATAGGGGTCTATTTAAAGAGAAAAAAATCACCCAGTTAAAGTGCACGTACATTCATTCTGTTTGACTGGCCAAAAACAAATGTTATTAAGCTATTTCCTGTGCTGGCTGAATGTTTTTCATTGATTTAAAATGGAAAATATGGCATTTGGCCACTAGATGGCTCTTAATAACATAGGAAATTCATATGATTCTTTTTTTTTTGCCCCATTTGCACAAACGAATGTACACACACTTTCATTGCTATGCACATTTTTTATAAATAGACCCCTTAGTGTTGGTATATGTCAGTAAATTTTGAAGATTATTATTATTATTATAATACATAGGGGTCTATTTATTTTAAAAAAATCACCCAGTTAAAGTGCACGTAAATTCATTCTGTTCGATTGGCCAAAAACAAATGTTATTAAGCTATTTCCTGTGCTGGCTGAAAGTTTTTCATTGATTTAAAATGGAAAATATGGCATTTGGCCACTAGATGGCTCTAAATATCATAGGAAATTCATATGATTCTTTTCTTTGCCCCATTTGCACAAACAAATGTACATGCACTTTCATTGCTATGCACATTTTTTATAAATAGACCCCTTAGTGTTGGTATGTGTCAGTAAATTTTGAAGATTATTATTATTATAATACATAGGGGTCTATTTATTAAAAAAAAAAAAATCACCTAGTTAAAGTGCACGTACATTCATTCCGTTCGACTGGCCAAAAACAAATGTTATTAAGCTATTTCCTGTGCTGGCTGAATGTTTTTCATTTATCTAAAATGGAAAATATGGCATTTGGCCACTAGGTGGCTCTAAATACCATAGGAAATTCATATGATTTTTTTTCACCATTTGCACAAAGGAATGTACATGCACTTTCATTGCTATGCAAATTTTTTATAAACAGATCCCTTAGTGTTGGTATATGTCAGAAAATTTTGAAGATTATTATTATTATTATTATACAGGATTTATATAACGCCAACAGGTAGTACCAGGACTAAATCATGTATTTATATTTTGATGACGGTGGCACTATTGAGTATACAAGGCTCACTAGAGGTTACTTGTGATTGCATGCCCTTGCCCTCCAGAGGATTTACCCCCCTTCCTGACCAGGCCATTTTTTGTGATACGGCACTGCGTTACCTTAACAGACAACTGCGCGGTCATGCAACAATGCGCCCAAAATGAAATTTATGTCCTTTTTTCCCACAAATAGAGCTTTCTTTCGGTGGTATTTGATCACCTCTGTATTTTTTATTTTTCCGCTATAAACGAAAAAAGACTGTCAATTTTGAATAAAAAACAATATTTTTGACTTTTTGCTATAAAACATATCCAATAAAAAAATTTTAAAAATCAAATTTCATCATAAATTTAGGCCAAAATGTATTCTGCTACATGTCTTTGCTAAAAAAAAATCCCAATACGTGTAAATTAATTGGTTTACGTGAAAGTTATAGCGTTTACAAATGGCGGTATATTTACTGAAATAAAAAAAAAAGTAACTAGTAATGGCAGCGATCAGGACTGTG